TAAATGAAATACAACTAATTAAATAATAATATAATAAGTAAATAAAAGTATATACTGTATTTCTCCAAAAATAAGCAATCTTCAAATTAATTTAATACCTGAAAATAAGCAACTTAATTAAATTTTATAAAATACTATATAAAAAAAAATTTTTTATTTTTAATGTTTCAATATACAAATCATGTTAAACATGATCATTGATATTATTTTCAATATCATCTTCAATATTATTATTAATATCATTACTATTATCAATGTCATCACTACTATCAATATTATCTTTATCAAGAATCTCTAAATCAGAATCCAAATTAATCAATATTTCACAAGTTTTAAAGGATTCTATAATAATTTTATCAGAAATCCTTTTCTAAGACTTTTTAACCTATAAATATACATTATTAAATCTAGCGCAATAAAGCTTACCCTTAGCAGTTTCTTCAGTACCACCATCAGCCATCCAAATATGCTATTCTTTATGAAGATTATCCTTGAATAATTTATTTATTGCAACATCCAGTAGTTAATAAATGCTAGTCAACTTATCTAGAATTACTGCAAGATTAAAGCCAATTTCATAAAACTTTCTTTTTACTAATTTTTCTAAATGATCTTTAAAAGAATCATATATAAATATTACTAGATTTTCTTAAGACCTGTTTTTATTCTTATATCATTGAGATAATTTATATACTTTACTATTAAATCAGAGTCTATCTAATCATTTTTTTAAAACTAAATAATAATATCAGGAGGAATTTGTTCTTTGCATAGTATTCTTTTTTTTGAAAATATATATTGAAAGAAGTTTGATTCTATCTATAATAATGAATCAATAGTACTAGTGAGTAAATTTTAATTTTATAAAAAAAAAAAAAAGCTTACCTGCAGCACATGTAAGTACAACTATAAACCTATTTTTTTATTACCTGTTATGTGAATATTAACTGTTTTTTCATCCTTTGAATTGATAGTAAAATTACCAGCCATATTAAACCAAACAGGTGTTTTATCTATATTATAAATATTCCTTAATTCAAATGACTTTTCAATTTTTAAATTAGTAACAAATTGGTGAAACTTTTTTAATTGCTCTTTAGTTTAATTAAAAAGTTTCTGAGATATTCTAGTTCTTTTTTTACAATGCTAACCTATATCTTTTCATAAAAGCAGTTAACTAGCGGTAAGATGTTTTAAAATTTGACTTATCATAAAGAACCTCTATATTTAGTCCTTTTAAAATTTTCAGCATTCTACTTCATATTATTGCATAGATAACCGTAAGACCTTACTTTCTTTGTTCTATAATCTATTCATAAAGCCTCTTTTTAGCTTCAGAATAAAAGACTTCTCGTTCAGAGTCAAGTCTCTTATTTTTTTCTTTTGTTTCAATTGTCTAATTTAAACTAGTAGTTACCCAACGTTTTATCATGTTATAATTAATGTCAAAGTACTCTGCTACCTTAATGTAACCATGTTTTTTTATATAGATAATAACTTGTATTTTTTGTTCAATAGAATATGAAGTTTATGTATATTTATTAACTTTTATAACCTTTCATTTAACAATTTTTTTTTATAAAATGTGGCATTTTAGCTAAATAAAAAAATTTTTTACAATTTTATGTAATATTTAATAATTAACGTGATTAATGATCACAAGATTTATTGACAAATTAGCAAATTTTAGATTGTATATTGTAAGTTAATCAATATAACCAAAAATAAGTAATAATATAGTAAAAATATGTTACTTATTTTTGAAGAATACGGTAAAATTCTTTTATAATTATTTAATAATATATTAAATTATAAATTAATTAATAAAAACAAAAATATTATAATAAATATGAATTAAAATTTTAATCATTTTGAAAATAATATTAACAATAAAACTGTATTTAAAATTATTATCTTTAAACAAAAAACAAATATTATAATTTATTATACCAGTAGTACCAGAAATTATTTAAAAAATTTTATGTGATTTTTAAGTGAAAAGAATAATCACTAAAATCAAATAAATCTAAAAAGTAAATGATTAATTTTATATGTCTTAATAATAATAAATTTTTCCATAAACTCTTAATAGTTTTCTTAGAAATAATTCCATAAAATAATATATCAAAATAAAAATTTCTCAAAAATAATATCAGCATAAAGTAATTTTACATTATTAGAACTAAAAAATATGTGTAGCAAGAGTAATTTAGCAAAAAATGGGCATTAGACTCTCAATAATCTATTATAATCTAAAAAAGATAAGAAGTATAGCTCAGAAAAAAGGTCAATATCAGCCCAAAAAAATTACTAATTCAGATACAAATACTATAGAGTAATGTATTAGATAAAATCCTAAAATTTCAATCAGTGATTTAGTTAATAAATTAGCAAAAAAAGATACAAAGGTAGAAAAAGAGACAGTCTGAACCTATCTTCACACTTTTGGCTATAAGAATGCTCTCTTACTTGTAACTCCTATACTTATAATAAAATATAAAGAAAAAAGAATAGAATAGTTTAAAAACAATAATTGGAAAAAACCTTATTCATAGATAAGATATCATTTCAGCTATTCCAAAACACAATAACTTAATAATATAAGAATAAAAGACCTGTACAACCAATTTTTAAGAATTGACAAAAAATTTATGTGTGTGAAAGATTTTTTATAGGAGAAAAACTAGTATTTATTGTTTTACAGGAATTATGAATGCAGATTTTTATATTGAAATACTTAGAAATCAACTTCCTGAAATCAAAGAAATATTAGATCATTATTGAAGTTTTTAACAGAATAATGATTCTAAGTATACAAACTGTAAAGCTAAAAATTTTATTAACAAAAATATTCCTATTTTAATTGATTGATCAGCCAATAGTCCTAATTTAAACCTTATTAAAAATTTATGAGAACTTCTTAAGAGAAACGTTGAGAAGAGAAGATCACAAAATTTAGAGAATTTGAAAAGGTTAATGATTGAGAAATGGAAGTGAATTCTGAATTTCATTTTAAAAAAATTAATTGAATTAATGCTAGTAAGATGTAATGAAATAATTAGACTTTAAAAGGAAAGAATAAACTATAGTACTTTTAATTAAAAAAAAAATTTATAATAAATAAATTATTAGTTTTTGAGAAATTTTTCATTTAAAAATTTCTAAATAATTTTCAGTATCACTGTATCTATACTATTACGAAATCTTTTTTCTAAAAAATTATATAAATAAACTCATGAAGTATATAAAATATTAACAATATTAATTAATTCTCTTAAATATGTTATAACGGATAAAATTTTAGATAGATTTAATTAGTAAAATAGAAAGTCAATTTTATTGCCATGTAGATTTTCTATGAAAATCATTTTGTTCATTTTATTACCATTGATCAATTATGAAAATCCTTAGATGTCAATTTTATTGTCTTTGATAATCATGTAGATCATAGATGTCTATTTAGTTGCCTGCAGATCTAGCAATTTTATTGACACAGCAACTTTATTGCCTAGTAAAATGGCAACTTTATTTTCTTCGATATATTTAGTTTATTTATTTTATTATTTATTCAATATGTATAAATATCTCTGTATTTTCTTTGAATTTCAGCACTGACAAGATCTTAATCTTTTAGGTACTGAACTTATATATTATATTAATAAAGAAGTATAATTAACCAAGTATAAAACTTATTCTTCACAAACCTATTGAAACTGTTATAAATTATCTGTGACCCTTTGCATTTGTGCAATCTTCCTTTTGTTAGTAAACTTGTTATGTGATATTGTATTGATTCGCTGTATTGACTTAAAGTCTCTAAAGTGTAATCTCTGAAATATCTTTGAGTTATCTTTGTATTTATTTTGTATTTATCTCACGTGTTTATTATTGAGAATAATTCTTTGACATTATTATGAATTTTCACCTATGATTCCTTAAGTAATTGTCTTATTTTTATTTACCTTTTTTAAGATTTTATTTGAAGTTACAAAAACTAATATAACATTTTGGTGCTCTTTATAAGGAATGGAAACAATAATTCAGTACGATTTATATGAGTATTCAAGAATTGTTAAGACTAGAAAAGAATATCAACAATACAACTAACTACTTGGAAGAAATTGACATTGAAATCCTTCTAGTAACCAGAGATTACAATAACAATTGAATACCCTTACTGAACTTCTTAGTTATATTTATATCTATTCTAACGTTAGAGGAGGAATTAGAGGATTAATTACTCATATAAGAAGTAAATTACCACTTGATATAATCTATTTAGTCAAACAGGAAGTCAAGAAAGAATTAAAAGCTCTTAATAATCACTTATTTGACCTACATAAAGACAGAAATAACCTATTAGAAATTAGAAGAGATTTATTGAATCAATTTAGAGATTTCTACTAGTATATGAATTGTGACCTATACAGTAAAATAAGAAAACAACACTCAGACGACTACTTCAAATATTTAGAACAAACACACCTCATAAAATCTTTTGATAAGTCTTGTAGAATTTGTCATTGACCATCTGGAAACCCAAGTATTCAATTTCAAAGATTCTATCAGTAGATTCACTAACAATATCATACATATACATATTCATTTCTCAGTGAATAATATTTTGAAGAAATAGGACAGTATTTTGATGTTAATAATCCTCATAGTCTTGATACTGAATAAGCAGCAAAAGCAGCAATATCTTTAGTATTTAGCCTTAGATTCATGTATTATTTTAAACCAGAAGTAATATGTCAACATATTCTTATCACTTCACATAACACTAACCACTTTACTTACAAAGAAACCCTTTACTAAATCTTGCAAATATGGCTATAACAGTAAACCAACTCAATGTGTTGATAACATAAATTACAACCAGTATAACCAACAGATTTAATGATATTAATATCCCAGCACTACCTGCAGTAAAAAGTTCTATTGTAAAAGTTGACCCTTTTTATGGAAAAGACAGTGAAGACGTTTAAGAATGGATTGAAATGTTCTTAAGAGCAAAAGAAGCTAATGAATGGCTAGACAATAGAAGAATAGCAATTGCAATAGAAATATTAAGGGAAGAAGCAGCTGACTGGTACAATCTAGTGAGCACTAAAATTAATAGATAGGATGGAGATGCAAATATAGGATTTAGAGAAAGATTCTTAGCATGCTTCTCATTGCAAGAAAAATTACATAGATGATAATATGAATTAATAAATCTGAAATAAGAAAATGAAAAGATTGAAACCTATGCATCTAGATTTAAGAAGTTAGCAAATAGAGTAGATGCAGGAGGAATTTCAAATACCTTTAAAGTATGAATGTTCTTAAGTAGATTAAATAAGGAATTAGCAACCTTAGTTGCAATTCAAAATCCAGCTGATTACTCAAGCTAAAACTGTTAAAGCTAGAAGATATTATGTAACAGAATACGATTTAGCAAGCTAAAAGTTGAAAATGATATTGAAAAATTATCTAAACAATTCAAACAAATGGCTTTGAATCAAGTAAACATTATGGTTGCATTAACCACTAATCCAGCTGAAAAAAAAAGTTACAATCCTGAAAGCAAATCAAGAAAAGAATTAATCTGTTTCAGATGTGAAGAAAAAGGTCATATAGCTAGACGATGTTTCTCAGAAAAGGTTCTATCACAAGATAACTGGAGAATCAGAAATGGTAATCAAAATAGAAAGGAAGTAAATATGCTTGAACAAGAAGTCTTCCTAGCGATTAAGAGAAAAAGATCTAAATCGCAAAGAAAAACTAATACTAGATAAACTTGATCTCAAACAATTAACGAACTAATGAAAATAATTGAACAAATATCCCAAATAGTGGTAGATAATACTACTAAATCTAGGAAGAGAATACCTAGAGGACCATCACTTTTGGATAATATTGAACCTTATAATATTTGGGATGACCTTGTAAACATTAAAGCTAATATTAATATGGGATAAATGATGCAATTTAGATTGCAGCAATAAAAGCTTCTTCAAGGAATGAGAAGACCTAAATTAGAAGGAAATGCAGTATTTACTAGCACTTCAGAAAAAAAAGAGCGAACTATGGTATTAAGATGTCATGTTAAAATTAAGAAAAATCCTGTAACTGCTATTATTGATATAGGAGCTGCAGTAAGCATCATGATGCACAAGTTGATGAAAAAACTTAGACTAGATATTGATGAACCTTCGCAAATAATCATGATTACTGCAAATAGATGAAGAGAAAGAACACTAGAAATAATTAAAATGTGCCATTAATCATTCAAGAAATTCTCATTAAAATGACATTTCAAGTTATTAATTCAACTGATCAAACCTTATTATTAGGAATCGATTGATGCAAGAAAAATAAAGTTAATATTGACTTTGAGAATAATGAAATAATCCTTACCTCTGGATTGGATAAAGTAATAGTTCTAGTACAATGTGTAGTTGAAAAAAGAATTCGAGCTGTAACTATTAAGGATGAACTTGATAAAATGATCAAGCAAGGATTAAAATATGATGACAAAGAAGAAACAGATAGCTATATTGTTGAAATTGAAGAACAAGAAGAAGATACTAACCTTTAAAATCAAGCCTAGAAGAAAGATTCAATTCAATCTTGGGCTGATGAAGTAAAAGTATATGAAGAAGAAGTTAACCATCCTAAATATGTACTTAACATTTTGTACAATAAAGATGGTATATTTCTTTCAATCAAAAAAGGAGAAGTTATATATGGAATATGGCAATCTTCTAGAGGAAAAGTAAAAGGAAATGAGAATCCAATGAAAGTAGCAGTATGAGAAACTGATGAAGAAACTGGAATAAAAGTCAAGAAAACTTAAAATATCTATTCAATTATCCAGAATTTAATTGCAATGTTTATACTACAAAGATTTCTAAAGAAACTAGATTGGAACAAACTGAAGAAGATAAAAATGGACTTTAGATTTGTCTCAGTTTTCTGAAATATGAAGAAATAGCTAAACAAAGAAAGACTACCTCAACCTACACAATATTTATTAATGAAATATTGGATCAAATTATATGGAATAACTTGCCTAATAGTCTTGCAAAAACCATGCAAGCAGAAACTGTAAAAGAAGAAGTTGTGACTCTAAAGCAACAAAAGGAAATTGACGTTCTAATGGAAGAAAATAAAGATAGATTCGTTACCAATATTTCTGAAACTAGACAATCAACTAGAGTTAGAAGAACCAATATAGCTCAACACAAAATTGATATAAGAAATGCTAACCCAATTAGGAGAAATTACTATCGAATGACAAAGAAAGAATAAGAATTTATCAATGAAAAAATTAAGAAGATGCTATATGAAGGAATTATTCAAGCATCTGATAGTCCATAGGCATCACCTGCAATTCTTGTAAAGAAAGCAAATAGAAAGAAAAGACTATGTATCGATTATAGAGGACTTAACAAACTTATGAGAGAAGATGCTTACCCTTTGCCTAAAATTTACGAAATTTTAGAAAACTTAAATGGAGCAAAATGGTTCTCAACATTCGATCTAGCTAATGGATTCTAACAAATTGAAATGAATCCCAAGGATAAAGAAAAAATTGCATTCATGATTAAAGGCAGACACTATAAATTTAATGTTATGCCTTTTGGTCTATACAATACCTTAGCAACCTTTCAGAAAACAATGAATAAAGTATTAGAAGAATACATTGACCGATTTGTAGCAGTCTTCATTGACAACATTATCGTTTATTCGAACAGTTTTGAAGAACATTGTGAACACCTTCAAATGCTTTTTCACAAATTGAGAAAGGCAAACCTTGCGTTAAACAAAGAAAATATGAAATGTTCAAAAGAGAATTATGATTCTTAGGGCATAAAATTAATGAATATGGAATTCTACCAAACCCTCAGAAAAAAGAGAAAGTTTAAGAATTTCCTGTGCCAAAGAATGTGAGACAAATTAAAGGATTTCTTGAATTGGTATCATATTATTGAAAGTTTATCAAGGATTTCTCAAAAATTGCCAAACCTTTGAATAACTTAACGAAGAAAGGAGTTGAATATGACTGGACTAATGAATATCAAAATGCATTTGAAACCTTGAAAGGAAAACTGACGCAAGTTCCAATATTAGGATATTCTGACTTTGATAAAATATTTTATCTTTTCACTAACGCTTCAGGAATTGGACTAGAATCCGTATTTGCAAAAAGGATGATCAAGAAAAAGAGAAAATAATTGCTTATGCAAGTAGAACTCTTAATATTCACGAACAAAACTATAGTGCTCAAGAATTAGAATGTTTAGCAATCAACTGGGCAGTTGAATACTTTCATCATTATACTTCCTTAAACTCTTTATCTTAGTAACTGATAATGCAGCATTGAAATGGTTACAAACTTCAACTGTAAAAAATCAAACTAAAAGAGCTAGATGGTTGTTAAATCTTCAACAATATACATTTCAAGTTCAATATCATTCAGGAAAAAATAATGCAAATGCTGACGCTTGATTCAGAATTGACCCTGATAATAATGAAGATTCTGATGAAATTGTAGAAACTTACATGATTTCTGTACAAATTGATGAAAACTTTGATGAATTAGAAGAAAAGGAAATCCAATAGCATATCTCTTCACCAGAAAATAGTGTAGAAGAAAATACTGAAGCTTACTTTGAGCAAGAATTGATGAATCAATTTGGAAATCACTCATTAATTACCATTGGATACTAATGTTCAACAAATAAAATGGTCAAAATTTACAAAAAAAATATTAAAGTCAAACAAGTAATTATAAATCAACCAACTACCAAAGAAGGCTCAAAATGCACTGACTTTTATGATATTGAAAACCATCACATTTACATATATTACAAGGCATGCAAATGTAATTTACCTTATAGAATCATTCTTCATGATTATATTATTAGATTCAAACGTAGTAAAATTAATCCTGACATGAACCCTAACTATTTAATTAATGACTTATAGTGGACTGAACCTTTACTTATTCAACAAGAAAATGCTTATACACAAATGTTCACCATGCTCCAATAATTTTATCCTATCATCAATAAAATAATAGAGTGAAAGCAAAAGTGTCAACATTGTGATTGACAGCTCAAGTTTAAAAATGGAAAAAAATTAATATAATTTAATTAAATATTATTTAATTATATCAAATTTACCAAATAATAAAAAATTAGCTGAACAAATTATCAGACAATCAAAACATTTTGTTATCTTAGAAAATCAACTTTATAAAAGAAATAAGAGAAACCTTAGAAGCTATCTTAAAGTATTAAAAACAAATGAAATAGAAATGATACTTTTTGCAATACACAATTATCCTACCGGTGAACATTTAGGAACAGAAAAAGTCTTTGAAAAGATTAGAGAAAACTATTATTAGCTGCAAATATTTGAAGACATTAGAAATTACATTAAAACCTGTAACTCTTGTCAAAGAAGAGAGAAATCCTCGAAAAACAGTACTCTCTTACACCCAATACCAGTAGAAAAGCCCTTTAAGAAAATAGGAATGGATTTTGTAAGACCATTACCATTGACCAACAAAGGAAACTGTTATATAATCATAGCTACTGATTATTTAATTAAATAGCCTAAAGCAAGTGCAACTTCAGCAAATAATACAAAAACAGTTGTAGAATTTATCTATGAAAATTTAATTTGCTGACATGGATGTTTAAATTATATACTTTCTGACTGAGGAACATATTTTAGAAATTAAGTAATAAAAGGTTTAATGAATAAGTTTAAAATTAAACATCTATTATTAACGCTGTACTATCCTCAAACTAATGAATTAGTTGAGCGATTCAATAAGACCTTGTGCAAATCTATAGCGAAAGTGACAAAGAATTTACAAGAATAGGATAATGCTATAAATTCTGTTTATTTGCATATCAAACTGTGAAAAATTCTACTACAAAGTTCATACTATTTTACCTGACCTATGGAAGAAAAGCAAGATTACCAATTACCATTGTTGAAATGAAACTCTAGAAATAAATTGAAAAGCTTAGAAAAAAATAGCAATAAGCAATAGAAAATGTAACAAAAGTACAAAAAAAGCAAAAGAAATGACATAACTTAAAAATCAAGCGACCAATTGAATTTAAAATTAGAAATAAAGTTCTTTTATATGACACTGCCAAAGA